TTGCACAATCCTACTCGCTCTACCTGACTGTAATGTACTGAGGATGCTGTGTCATGGAGACCCCAGAATATTTCGGTACTCCCATATACCCCACCACCAAATCCTGCAGAGATTTAACCAAACAACATAAGTGACTCTGAGTTGCTTCTCTGCTCCAAGAGAACAGACTGTGAAGATATATAGCAAGATAAGAGGAAAGCAGCTGATCAGAAGTAACAGGTAAAAGAATAAAGAGCTAATTTCTCACAACAAATGCTATCTGAACATGAAGATTGAAGAGGCGCCCAGGTAACTCAAGGTCAAGAGAATTAGTTCAGCTATGCTAGTGCCTAATAATAAGAGCAATGCATTCTGCATCATGCAACATATGGTGATCCAGTCTAGTGTTTCAGGATTATTCTAGCTTTTCTAAATGATACGTGATCCAACAATTTCTATTTCTGTAGATGAGCAAAAGGAATAACAACTTCTATCTACAAAAACCAGATGATTCTCAGAAAGAGAGTTTCTATTCAAAACAAGAGACCCTATTTGAAGTCAAAACGATGGAAACCTTACCGCCAAGCCATTTGTATAGTCAAAGCAACTGCAGTTGGTATAAGCAAATCATTAGCTCACCTGTGAACGGCCAATTAAAAGTTTTGGAAAAGAAAATGATAACTCATTGGTATACTGAATAGAGAATACCTATAGCATGATGGTGCAATAACATCTACCAGGTCGTTTGCTGGCAGGCAAAAATAGGGAACCTGCTTTGAATTAGGCCCTGAATTAAATAGTCCATTGTGGAAGACACAAAGCTTCAGAATTATAGGCAAACAAATATTTACCTCTTCAATGTGCCCATCTAAATGCTTTAGGTGCACCTGTAAATATTCTCGGTTATACAATGCGATCATACATTAAAAAATTCTAAAGGAAAAGCATGGCAATTCTGTGAATGCCATGTGTTCTTGTGTTGATCCTAAAACTGCTTCTTGAGCTGTTGATATGGAAAAGTAAACTGTATTCCTATCCTATTGATTTTCCATACATGAAACTACCAAAGTGGGGAAAAGAATGTATGCAGCTAACTATTTCAATGCCATACCTTGTAGTCTTGCATAAATTCATAATGCATAACAGTTTCTGGCTCAGTGCTTGCCGCTTTCAAGAATTTATCAAGCCCTTCACGTGTACCATTGTCAACTAAAAAAAATCACAGTATGTCAGAGTTACAATATATCTTCCATGACAGAAATGTAAAGATCGACTGGTTTGAGAGGAGAAATGGAAATTACCACAGTTTGTGCCAAGCACATAAAGCTTTTCCAAACCAAGGTACTTTTCTACAGATCTCAAAGCTGTAGTTCAAACAATAACTTTAACAACTTTGACATTTGATAGAACATCACCAATAGAAATGGAAGAAAGGCCAGGTAAAGGAAAACACCTTGCACTTGACAGCCCACACCGCAGAAAAGAAGCCGCTTTACACCAGCTGCCTGCCAAAGGAAACCGTGAAACTCTCTGGACTATAAACTGGTCACTATAATGCTTTCACTATAGAATGTGCCTTGTTATGGTTGGAGTGATGATTGGAATGGACTTTGGAACCCACTGGAATGTGGAGTCAAACGGGGCTTCTCCAAATTGAATAGACTAACAGAATTACTCTTGCCCAAGCAACAAATTCAAATTTAAATGAACTACTTCTAATTATCTTGAATTGGGAAATGAGAACAAATATCTGGACCAAGTAACCCTAAATTAATGTCAGGACAGCTGATGTTCTCTCAGAGATCTGCTGCCATGACCCATTATTACTTCTATATGTTATAAGAAGGGGAAGGGGGCATGGTGCTATAGCTTGCATCAAGAATAAGGGGGAATGGGAAGAAAGTATAGTGTTAAAAGGAACGATTTACCTCAACTAAGGCAAGTGTATTGAGATTTGGTGATAATGTTGGCTTCACACCTTTGGCTGCAATTACTTCATCTGGTGTCCTACAAGAGCATGGCTACCGAGATTAAATGTTACTTCCATTCTAGAAAGCAAGGGACATGATGATTAGCATGAATAATTCATGGATGGACTAATAACAAAAGTTTAAGCTCAAAATAGTTGCAGAAAGTCTGGAACTGCAAATATATATCCAGTCAAGGAGTGTTATACACAAGCCATAAAGAAAATTTCTGAAAGCCATCAGTTTCACAATACCTGGCCAAAACAGGCCTTGGAGCAAGCCTGTCATTAGGATCACTGCAGAAGGGATAAAAAAAATTATTTGAATCCACGTGATAATGCTTGTGCATTGCACTGAGAAAGAATGATGTGGCATTTGATTCTTGTTTGGGTGCCTTTGTACACAAACCACAGCGTCGACCAGATTTGCTTTCAGCATCTCAACTGCGATTGTTGTCACTATTCCCGTCCACTGAGCTCCTGTTGCATGTAAGACACATATATGTTACAGGGTACAGAACATAGGTTGCCAGGATACAGTTTTGTCTAACAAAGGTTTGTCGAGTATATCAAGATAGTGTAGGAAATAAGATGCAACACTAGATGTATGTGGTTTCGGTTTGTTAAGACAGGCCAGTGAGCAAGACTGTGGTATATTGCATATGTGTGCTTCCTTAGAAGGATGCAGGCGGCTGTTGAAGGATAAGAAGAACTTGTAAAAGGTAAGTTAGTACCTTGAACAGGTTCAGTCTTCCTGGCATACAAGAGTTGGTCATAGACTCCAAAGTACATTTCATCCATGCCTTCCTTCCGGCCTCTCCCGTGGACTTGTGGTTCAAGATCCTAAATATAGTGAGCAGAGTGTTGTTATTTTTAAATTTGTGTCAACTTTTTTTTAGGGAAAAGGGGAGTTCCCCGCTTTTATTTTGCTGAAACAAAGCGTACAGTTTGTGTCAAGCATTACTACTCCCTCCGTTCCAAATTATAGTTCACTTTAGCTTTATTCTAAATCAAAACTTCTTTTGCTTGACTTGACCTCAGTTTTTATAGAAAATATACATATTCTCATCTACAACTACAAGTTCAAATAAATGCACTATCAAGACATATTTTATGGAGAATTTAATGAAGTCATTTTGATATTGTAGATGTTTTCTATGAACTTGATCAAAGTTAGAAAAGTTGAAGTACAATTTTGGACGGAGGGAGTAATTGCGTGCAGCCCATTGCTTGATCAAACGATTAGGAGAGCTATTTTATTTCCATTTAGCAAACTGTTTGAGCTGTTACAGGTAGGTGATGTTAAGATTAAGGAGGTGCAGGTGACCTCGACACGGGACATGCCGTCTCCCAGGAAGCCGCAGGCAGTCTTGACATGCGCAACATAGTATGTGTCGCAGAGCCCACAACGGCTTGGGTCGCCATATAAGCAGAGATAGGAACAAACAACAAAGTAAGCATCGCATCACATAATCACACCAACAAACAAAGGAATGCACAGCACAGCACATACCTGCAGTGGTCCTTGGCAGGGTAGACGGCGCCAGGAGGGATGGGCTTGGATTTCTGCCTCCAGTCCTCCCTGAGCGCCTTGGCCCTGACCTTGAGCGTTCTCTTGGACTTGGAGGACGAGGAGAAGGCGAGGGAGGATCGGCGGGGTCTGGGAGACGAGGACGAGGGCGAGGAGGCGTGGAAGCAAAGGGAGAGGCAGGTGGAGGCCATGGTGGCGGAGCTCGGCTCACCTCACCGGTGATAAGACGGAGGACTGGAGGAGGATCGAGTGGAGATCGAGGAGCCATGCCTTGGGCCTTTAAGACAAACTAATTTTACTGGGCCACCGCATAAATTTCGGCCCATCTCCACGCTTTGAGGAAAGTTTGTTGGGAACATATATAGTGCAAACCAACATTTTCGTGCAAACCAACTGCGGGAGAGAGGTGGGAGGGGGGATTTGCAAAAGTGTAATTACGCCCGCTCCTAATTACACTTTTGCAAATCCCCCCTACACCTCTCCCCCGCAGTTGGTTTGTATGGTTTACACGAAAATGTTGGTTTGTACTTATACATTGCCAAGTTTGGAGCCTTGAGGACTCTTTGCCTTGCAAAATGGAATGGAGACGAATGCATCTTCAACGAAAATGCATATGCCACTCAACGAGCTCCATCCGTGCATGCATAGTATGCTGCAATTCAAGCAGAGGATTGTGGGGAGGGAGCAACCGATCATATATGCAAACTCATCTCACCTGTGATGTGAAACCACAACTCTACACCAAGACTGAAGAACAAAAACATTCCCAGCCAAATGCTACATTTTCATTTCGTTCAATAATCCAATCCAAAAAAATACCAAGAGCAAAGTGTCCATCCCAATTCATCCCCCAGGCATGTAAAAAACATACTGCACTAAGTTAGCTACCAAAAAACCCAGTTAAACAGCAACTCCACCATTCCGGATTGATGCATTTCCTATCCTCAGGAGTCAGGACTACACCTGGAATCTATCAATATACCTCTTCCTCAACATCATTCAAACGGCATGGTGTCCCAGTAAACAGACTGGTTTAAACCATCTCAAGACCACCAATCAAGTGATTCATGCTCACAAATGACTCAATATGCATGCAAATTGTCCAGATTGAGGGTACACAAAGCAAACAAATCCCAAAATAAAGCAGCTGTTCATTCATGTAACTAACACAGGGTAAGTTCACAAACATCCATAATACACAGTTGCTAAACATACCTTTTGCAGGTAAGCCATTAACCATATCAACACAACACTAGTAAAACAGATTTAGCATGCCTTTTGCAGGTAAGCCCTATAACTGAAGCAAGGATTAGTGACAACAACAGAAATGTGAGCACCTTTTGATACTCTCAAGTCTAGAATTTAACTAGTTAGAGGGTGCAAACTAGGGCAAAACTAAACCAATGTATCATGTTATGGTTATTATCCCAAAAAAAAATCCTTGCCTGCACTATCATCCAAAAAGTCCAGTAAGCCTTCGCCACATTGATGCCACACTGCCTCAGAACCAGCATCAGCTTGCACTCAACTCCCCATCAATTCCATAATCTCCCCATCAATTCCATAATCGATGCTCAGCTCACGCATGGGTGGGATGGTCTCCATGGCAAAAACCATCAGGTGAGGGAATGACTCGTCCTCATTGCCACGCAATACAAACTGAAGAAACACATTAGGGGTGCAGCTGTGGCTAATGTAGCAGGCCACATTCCTCTTATGTGACACGTCAAGAACATAACCTGGCCCTGCCAACTTGGTAAACTGGCGTCTCTTCATGTTTGGTTCAACAGCCGAGGCATCTCCCCACTCCCTCCATCGCTCCGGAAACCTCCTTGGATCGATGATGCTGCGACCCTCCATCAACGCACTGCCTGGCTGATCATCCATAACGACCACATGCCCAGTGTACTCACACACAAAAGCTCCCGGCTGTATCAAGTCAAGCGCCCTGACACCCCAGCCTGTCTCATTGGAGCGGAACACCTCCAGCCGGTGCTTCATCCCTCGCTGCGTCACGCGGTTCACGCAGGTCACGGGGCACCCACACAGAGCACCGCATTCATACACCACCGGCCTTCCCATCACCAGAGTCTCATCCTCAGTATACAGTGGCCCCCCGCCGTTCTTCCTCTCACATCTGCACTTGGAGCCACAGCCCGTCGTGCAGTGGCAGCCCCTGTGCTGCTTGACTGGCTCGTGCGCTGGCGGCACTGGAAACTCAGGGTGGACAATGTACTCAAATAGCAGGGGAGACCTGTCGTCGTCCAGCTTGTTGCAGACAGGGACGCGAAGGACCTCCGCCCCCTTGGAGAGGTCGAGGGAGATGTACCTTGGCGGGCGGATTCTGGCGTCCATGGACTCCTTAAGCAGCTTGGCGGTGTGCCAGGTCTTGCTGGCTAGGTCGTCCTGGCCGGGGAGACGCACAAGCTTGAACTTGCAGACGTCGTGGCCGGACTTGCCGGGGCCGAAGGTGGAGCTAACGACCCTGTACAGGCCGTCGTAGACATAGACCTTGCGGTGGGGACCATGGTCGATGTCGTGGCCCCGGATGACGCGCACCTCCACGCCGTAGAGGTAGCTGTTGTGGAGCGCCAGGTTGCCGCGCTCAAGCGTCTGGTTGGCGTGGTGGTCGAGGCGGTGGCGCTGGCGGCCGCCGCTGCCGGTGTAGACAAGGACGTCGCCGGTGTCCTCGTCGTCAAGGTATCCTCCGGAGGAGACGATGCTGGTGGCGACGGGGTGGCCCTCGTCGAGGAGGCTGGCGGGGATGTAGCCGATGCCGGCCTGAGGCGCGGTGTGGAGGCCGACGACGCAGATCTCGGCGCGGTAGTAGAAGGCGTCGCCGACGAGGACGCCGGGGATGTCGCCGACGATGCGGACATCGCGGTGGAGCCAGTGGCCGGCGGCGAGCATCTGGCTGGAGGCGCGGAGGTCATGGCGGTTGCGGAGGCCGCTAGAGGTCTCCTGGCGCTGGTAGGAGCTGCGGAGCGCCTCGAAGGTGAGGCGCGCGCGGCGGACGAGGGCGCGGTAGCGGAGATGGTCCGCCGGGCTGAGGTGCGTGGCGCGCACCACCTCAGTGGCGGCGCGTGCGCGCTTCTTGGAGCTGGAGGGATTGGATCCGCTGCCTGCGCCTGGTTCTTGCGGCAGCCGCACCTGCAGCTCCTGCTGAGGGGGGAGAGAAGGAGGCGGAGGAGGGACCCGTGCAAGAGGTGCGGCGGAGGAGGAGGAAGAGGGGGGCTGGAGACTGGCGGCGAGGGCTTCGAGGCGGAGCTGGGATTGGCGAAGGCAGCGAGCGAAGAAGGGATCGTCGTCGGGGGAAGGAGCAAGCTCCCGGTGGAGAACGTCGCAGAGCTCCGGGGTGAGCGCGAGCATCAGAGCCGACCGTGCTGCGACGGGGACGGGGGTTTGCGCAGGGATTGGGCCGTCGGGGTCGGGTTTGGGGGTGATGGGAAATTGCGAGAGGAGATGATCGATCTGCACCGGCGGCGGCGGAGGAGGAGGAGAAGAGGACCCCATTGCCGAGGGCCGGCTGGCCGCCTGGTCCCCTTTCCCCTTTCTTCTCTCTCTCTCTCTCTCTCTCTCCGGTCAGGTGTTGCGGGTGTCCGAGCGGCGTGAGCGCCGCGGGCCTGTGGGTGGCTGTCGGGTCTGGATGCGGCTGGGTGGAGTGGTCGACACTGCACACAATGACACGCAATGACACAACTCGCAGTCGCAAGCACGGCCCACGGCTTCTTCGTGCTGATATTTGCAATTCCCAAGAATGTCGAAAGAGAATCAGTGCTGGCCCGAAAAATAAAGTAACGTTTGGTTAGCATAGGAGGGCTTCTTCGGGCTGATATTTGCAATTCCGCGGAATTTCGAAAGAGAATCAGTGCTAGCCCAAAAATAAGGTAATGTTTGGTTAGCACAGAAGTCTAAGAATCCGTATAAAAAAAGAGTCCGTCTGTGTTTTGCCCCCATCCAACTCCCGATTTTTTTCGCATGCACTGTTCATCTTCCCGCTCCAGCTGTTGGCACTGTTCATTTTCTACCTCCAGCCAGCCCGCCGCCCTTGGTACTATTCATCTTCTTCCTGGGCACAAATCATAGATCACAAGTTATAAAGTCACAAGAAATAATTTTTTTTCTATAGAAGGACAAAGACAAAATTTGGAGAGAGGCTCGCTGGAACCGCCACCGCCGCCGTCTCCGGTCGGCACAGATCCACCGGAACCCGATGCTGCCGCCGCCGCCGGAGGGGAGGGAGGAAGGAGCCACGGGCAAGGGGAGTCGCCGAATCGGATGGCTCCACCGCGTCCTCGCCGCGGATCTGACGAACAGAAAATTGGGTGTCAATCTAACCAAAACCACACGGGTGTAATATAGCATTTCCGTAAAAAAAGGGGGCGTTGCTAGAGCATGTGAGTGCAGGACCTGAGAGTTCCGCGCGCACACCTCGCACAACAATTTACGCAAAAAACACCTCTTCTTCCCCAACTCCGGCACCCCCGCCACGGCGGCCACATAGCTCCTGCGAAACCCTAGCTCGCCCGCGGCACCACTTTCTTCCCTTCCCTCCCCCCTGTGGCACAACCTCCTAAATTATAGGGCCCACATGCACCTGTCACTGTCCAACGATCTTTGACATCTATGCATATGTTCCTGGTAATTTAAGAAGACTGTCGGGTGTCCTCGGGGAACCCCGAATCATCCACGATTTCCGAGCAGGATCATATTACAGAGTCATTGCAGTATTACAACAGTTTATTCAAATAAATACATCAGAGTAAAAGTAGCGGAAGACTTATAATAACATAGTTTATAAACCATTTGTTTCAAACCATACAACTAAGTTCGATATTAATACAAACCAAAGTAGTGGAGCGACATTATAATATAATACAAAACACACAATGAGGTTGCGACCGCCTAAGGGCCACACAATTACTTCTCATCGTCATCACAAGGTACAATCTGTCATGCAAAGACGATCCACAACAGAGATCGCTCATGAGACTCACACGCAACAAGAGTCAACGAACCACGAGTACAAAAGTACTCAACAAGACTTATCCGAAATAAGGCGATAACTCAAGAATGCAGTGCTCGTGGATTCAAGGTATGGTTTTAGCAATAATCAAAGTTATTTTTTATGAAAAGCTCTTTAACAAAATTCTTTATTTCAACACTTTAAACTTCATAAACTCATATACAAAGATGACACGATCCGTAATGAGATCATGAAACTTCATATCCAACACCTTCATCAACCATTCTCAAGTTCCAGTTATGAATACTACGATGATGAACAAGTGAGTTGAGTCTCCATAACCGAGGAGCAACGACGATTCGAACCGATTATAAACCCAAATTGGAAATTCCAGACCACACGACATATGCGCAGGTCCCCGACCTACATATACCAACCTACCCTCATATCCTCTGAAACAAGAATGGGTCCGCGCCACCCGAGAATACGAGACTCCACCAATCCAAAGCCCATAGCCACGTGGGAACACGCTATTTCCGCCATCTCTCCACTCCCGGCGCGAGTAGCCATTCTCGTAATAGAATCGCCAAGTTCAAAGCTTACCGGAGTATGTGGTTAGTACTACAAATTCTCACCTCATGCAATTCAACAACGGACGTGCCTTAATCGACACAAAGGAAAGAACCCGCCACAAGACCTCCATGTCTTGTGGCTCACACACATCGAGTCCGCCCGATCTAGATTTATTACTCCACATTCCCATATCACATGCTAACATAATTAACCAATGTTCCATTTAAAACTTGCGGTGGCGTGTAATCACCCAACTTTCATCGTTTCTACGATAGCTAAGCAAAACTAGGCATATATCTGAGTTTAAAAACTGGTAATATGGTAAATATGGAATAACAAGGATGGTAATGCACCAATTAGGCTCTTACTTAACTCCTAATCACTTAATGCAAGAACGGAAAGCAAAAGCAAAATCAATTTGTAAAACATAAGGTAGGGTTGTATGCATCCGGGCTTGCCTTCGTTGACGGAAAAGTCCCGGCTCTGCGACGTTTCACAAGTATTCGGTCCGACCTCAACAGACGGATTAACCTCCTCAACCACTTGATTAACTACCACGTGTTCACCTTCGTTTTACTACACGTAATAACAATGCCATGTTTAACATGATGTGGAATACTTAAACATGATGCTCGATGATGGATGCAAAATTAATAATTTGAATACAACTTTCCTTGTGATACAGCTTGCAAGTCAAACTAGTCAAACCTTTTTCGCAACACCCAATCAATTGCCAAGGATCATTATCAACTAATGATCCAAGGTCATCACTCAATCAAAATTTCAAACAAAACCTAAATCATTAAAGGTTACTATTTGCTTTTATGAATTAATTATTTAATTCAAAATTATGAAATAAATCAACTTATTCCAATTGAGCTCAAAATTTTTGTAAATGTTCATTACATGATAACTAAGTGGAAAAACCAATTTCATAATTTTGGATATATAAATAAGCCTAGAAAAATCATGGAAATCCATTTATTAATAAATTGAGCAATTTTATCACATTCAAAAATTACTGAAAAACATTATTTTATATTTTTCTTAAATACTATACATCACAGAGAAGTCACACAAAATTTTCATAATTTTTGGAGCTCTAAATAAATCTACACAAAAATAACAAAAGCAGACACTATTCATTCAAATATGAAAATAGAAAAAATCCATTTGAACATTTGAGTCACCGACAACCCGACCCCACTTGTCATCCCTAACCTCCGACGCGTTGACCACGGCAAGCGACGGCTCGACCGGCGATTTTCTCGCCGACGGTGAGATCACCGGCGACGACCAATGTACCAAAATGATCACCAAGTCTAGGCGCATCGATTGGACGTCCCTATCAAGACCGACACGGCTCTATATACTAGCTCGTCGTCGACATATGGCGACGGTGGCTGGCAGCGCACACGCCGCGGCGGTGCAACCGGTAGAGCTCAAACAAGGGATTCAGAAGCACCAGAGGCTCACCCCAAACGCGTTGAAGCAAGGAGCGAGGTCGGAGAAGCAACGAAGAGGCGTGACAATGATCACGGTGATCATGGCGAGCAAAACGTCGTCGGCGATGGTGTACCGGCGATCGCAAAGTGATCAAAATGAGCAACCAGCTATGGATTAAGTACTACAAAGATCGAGACGAAAAAGCAATCACCAAAACCAGGGATTTAAGATGCACCGTGGAGCTCAGCCACGGCGAATCGCGCTTCGGCGGAGGAGTTGCCGGCCACGAAGAAGAAAGACGTGGACAGCGAAGTTTCCGGTGGAGATAAACCGAATTGGTGGGTCGGTTGGATGCGTAAGGTTAAAGCGAGCTGGGGACAAAGCTTTGCCGAGACGGCAACGGCGCTTAAGTCGACGGCGAGAGCTCGATGGAGCTGCGGTGGTGGCGACGGAAAAGCAGGAGAAAGAAAAACGCGACGACGGCGTCTCGGTTCTTATAACGCGACTCGAAGCTCAAGGAAGCCACGACGGAGCCGTTTACGTACAGCATGACGCTAAGGACGGCCACGACGCGCTACCGAACGCCAAGAAGGTCGTCGGCGGTGTAGTCTCGACGGTGGACACCATTCACAAGAATTACAAGTTTGCCATTCGCCAAATTCACAAATTACTCTCAAATTTTCATAATAACTCAAAAATCTCCAAAAACAAAAGTTGTTCAAAATCAAAAGTTCTACAACTTTGCTTCTATAACCATCTCCTAATTCGGTCTAGATTTTGAAATGAACTTTTGAATTTGAATAGGGAAATTTAACGAATTACGCCTTTTTGAATTACTCAAAATTTTTCTAAACAACTTGAAAAACTCCAAAAACAAACTTTGTATAACTTGCCAAGCTCTACCCTTTTTATTTTGGGATCAACCCCAAATTATGCTTAGATTTTGAAATGGATTTTCAGGGTAGGATTTAAATGCTGAAAAGCGGGGTTTTCTCGAAAAATTCAAAAATCCAAACAAACTTTGAATTTAAGTCAAACAATACAATTCAACACATACCACATGAATATAAACTTGTTTTAGTGTATGCATCTCAAAGTTTTCACCAAATGCCAAATGCTTTGCAATGCATATGATGACATGTCAGGTTTTAGTATTTTAAACACCCGAGGTGTTACACCCCCTCCCCGGCCGCCGCCGCCACCATGGCCGGAGCTCCCCCGCCCCGACCTGGCCCGACCGCCTCCAGCTCTCCTAAACCGCCCGTCGACCATCCCCACTGCCTAGCCTACCTGCCTCCCCCCAGCCGGCCATTCTATAGCCCGCCGGAGTTGGACGGGATGATAGGGAGAGCTCGCAGGAACCCTAGAAAGCAAACCCAGGAGGAGGAGTAGAGAGGGGAGAGGAGGAGGTCTACCTGGCATAGATCCACCACTACTGCCGCCGGATCCGGTGGATCCGCCGCTGCATCCGCCATGTGAAAGCTCTAGTTTGGCTTTGGTTAATTGATAAAACCCTAAGTGCTAACCT